AAGCAGTGTCCGCCCTTTATCATGGAACGGTCTCTGTAAGTCCAATTTTTTTTTACACTCAAGCTCTTGTATGCCAACCGCTCTTCGTCTCCAGTCCCCGCATCGCTCTCGACCGCAGAACCAACGCCGGACACTACCCACGCCGCGAGTGCGATTTTAGCTGGTTTTTCCTGTAGAGCCTACGTAAGCATGGTAAGCCTGAACTCTTTGCGTCCACCGTCTCGTATACTAACCCCACGTCGTTTGCAGACGTCCCCCGCGTCGCTCGGGACCGCAGATTGCACACTCCCTACTACCTACGTCCAAAGCGCGACCTCGGCGATTTTCTGTTATGGAAGCCGTAAAACCAGGGTAAATCGCAGTTGTTTGCACCCATCCTCTTATATACTAACCGCACTTTATCTCCAGACGTCCCCGCATCGTTCCCCAGCACCGAACGAACACCAAGAGTGCGATTTTAGAGCCCATGTAATCATAGTAAGCCGAACTTTTTGCGTCTGCCATCTCGTATACTAACCCCACATCGTTCACAGACATCACCCGCGTCGCTCGGGATCACAGAACACACGCTCCCCACTACCTACGTCCAAAGCGCGACCTCAGCGATTTTCTGTTATGGAAGCCGTAAAATCACGGTAAACCCCAGTTGTTTGCATCCACCCTCTTATTTTAGAACCCACGTAATCATGGTAAGCCGAACTCCGTGCGTCCACCACATCGTATACTAACCCACGTCGTTCACAGACGTCATCCGCGTCGCTCAGGACCACAGAACACACGCTCCCCACTACCCACGTCCAAAGCGCGATCTTTTCTTATGCTGGCGTCCTAGGACGACAAGGGCAGCTTGATGCGCGTGCCATCGCTCGTGCCTACCATTCACTCTGAATCGAGCGATGACTGGTACCTTCCGCTGCCGCCGTCGACGGCATGGTAAGCCTGAACTCTTTGCGTCCACCGTCTCGTATACTAACCCCACGTCGTTTGCAGACGTTCCCCGCGTCGCTCGGGACCGCAGAGTACACGCTCCCTACTACCTACGTCCAAAGCGCGACCCTCGGCGATTTTCTGTTATGGAAGCCGTAAAACCAGGGTAAATCGCAGTTGTTTGCACCCATCCTCTTATATACTAACCGCACTTCATCTCCAGACGTCCCCGCATCGTTCCCCAGCACCGAACGAACACCAAGAGTGCGATTTTAGAGCCCGTGTAATCATAGTAAGCCGAACTTTTTGCGTCTGCCATCTCGTATACTAACCCCACATCGTTCACAGACATCACCCGCGTCGCTCGGGATCACAGAACACACGCTCCCCACTACCTACGTCCAAAGCGCGACCTCAGCGATTTTCTGTTATGGAAGCCGTAAAATCACGGTAACCCCAGTTGTTTGCATCCACCCTCTTATTTTAGAACCCACGTAATCATGGTAAGCCGAACTCCGTGCGTCCACCACATCGTATACTAACCCACGTCGTTCACAGACGTCATCCGCGTCGCTCAGGACCACAGAACACACGCTCCCCACTACCCACGTCCAAAGCGCGATCTTTTTCTTATGCTGGCGTCCTAGGACGACAAGGGCAGCTTGATGCGCGTGCCATCGCTCGTGCCTACCATTCACTCTGAATCGAGCGATGACTGGTACCTTCCGCTGCCGCCGTCGACGGCATGGTAAGCCTGAACTCTTTGCGTCCACCGTCTCGTATACTAACCCCACGTCGTTTGCAGACGTTCCCCGCGTCGCTCGGGACCGCAGAGTACACGCTCCCTACTACCTACGTCCAAAGCACGACCTCGGCGATTTTCTGTTATGGAAGCCGTAAAACCAGGGTAAATCGCAGTTGTTTGCACCCATCCTCTTATATACTAACCGCACTTCATCTCCAGACGTCCCCGCATCGTTCCCCAGCACCGAACGAACACCAAGAGTGCGATTTTAGAGCCCGTGTAATCATAGTAAGCCGAACTTTTTGCGTCTGCCATCTCGTATACTAACCCCACATCGTTCACAGACGTCACCCGCGTCGCTCGGGATCACAGAACACACGCTCCCCACTACCTACGTCCAAAGCGCGATCTTTTCTTATGCTGGCGTCCTAGGACGACAAGGGCAGCTTGATGCGCGTGCCGTCGCTCGTGCCTACCATCCGCTCTGAATCGAGCGATGACTGGTACCTTCGGCTGCCGCCGTCGACGGTTTTGTACGAGCAGTGAGTCTCTTTCATATACATAATTAAGTCGATACTTCGAACTGATTTCCAACTTGCGCAGGTACCCGCCACTGCCACCATTGAGGCTATCGTCCAAGTCCGAAGAGCAGTATCCGCTCTTGCCGCGAGTGTAGTGTATTCGGAGCGTCATCCGTCGTTGCTGCCCTCAACAGCGTCTTCAGAGCATTATCCACCGCTCCCGCCTTCGACAGTGTCTTCGGAACAGTACCCGCCGCACTGTCGTTCTCGACACGCAGTAGCTCCTCGAGCCGCCCACGTCCATTTCGAGTACAGATGAATCTTCGGACGTCGCGACGCCGCCTTCACGTCTAGTTTTCATCCCCCTCGTCTGTGACCGTGTCTGCGCCTTCGCCTATCGAGTCGCATGGGGCGCCGTCGACGACGTACGAGCTGCCTTCCGAGCTGAGCAGCATGGACGAAACATCACTTACGTCATCTTCGAATCTCATGGCGCTCTCGCGCGCGTTGTCGAGTGTACGCGCACGCACACGCAGCTAGGGCGCCGCTTCTGGCGGTACATACGACTCGTCCGTTCTCGCACCGTCGCCGTGCGCCGGCTGTATCGCGCTGCATGACGGGGCGGATACGTCGGGCGAAACATCGTTCTTGCGCCTACGGAGTCGTTCTCCTCGTAGGTTCGCATGAGCACCATTCCGCGCTCGGTTGCGTCGATTATGGCACCATCGGAGCGCGCGCCGTCGTCCTCGAGTCTCTCGGAGGTGCCGATGCGGGCGGGCTTTGGGTTTTGGAGCGAGTCGTCATCGCTGGGGCGGACATTGTCGGTGTTGACGCAGTCGTCGTTCTTGTCTGATTCGACGGCGCCTTCGCCCTCACCATCACCACCGCCGCTCCCGGAGTCTCCTTCGACACATTCGCCGAGTTCGCCTCGACCAAGTCGCCCACCGGTATGTCTTTGGAAAATAAATATTATTCATATTTGTGCTTATTTTTATCTTTAGTCGCCATCCAGTTTCAGTCTTGGGACGCCCGAAGCGTCGGGCAGCGTGAGTATCTCAACCCCTCGCGGGGACGTGCCGTCGGTTCGTTCCCTGCTTGACACCGTGCCGTCATACCGCGCGTTGAGTACGCAGGGGACTCTCGTACAAGTCCAGTTCGATGTATCTCGAACTCGTTTTTTTTTAGCCCGTTCCCTGCCGAAATCATTCACGGAGCCGGAACTCTGTTTCAGAAGTAAATTCAACTCGGCCGCAAATAGTCAAGTTCACAGTTAGTACTTGCTGCAAGGTTCATACCGACTACTCTGAGATCAAAGATCCGTTTCTTAGACCTCCATTCTGGCGAACTCGTACATCGACGTTCTATGGGATCAAACTTTGCTTCCATGCCGAAGCTTCGCTTCGCCATTAAATACAACTCTGGTCACCAGTTTTCAGGTTCGATGGGCTTCATCAAGGTCAGTTCTCAAGCAATCTTTGATTTAATATTCTCCGCGCTCAAATATTTTGAACCCCCATTGTAGGTTGAACATGCGCGTAATCCAGTTCTTTTTCAACAGGCTGTCGCGAAGATCAAGGAAGACAACGTGTTCAAAACCGCGTGCATATTGGACATCGGTCCCACGCCGACCGCCTGGGTGGCCTTGCAATCCAACAACCTCTCTGAATCAACGTTACTACTCTCTTCTTCGGCGAAGAAAGGGAAAGATCAGGAGCTCGCATTCCTCACGGCCATTGCATCCTTGGTTGAGTTCGGGATGAATCCCGACTTTACACCGTCGACATTGTTCTCGTGGGGAGAAGGGACTAGAGTGAAGGTGAGTGCCTCTCTTGTTTTGTTTTATTTGGCGCTGCACCCCATCCCTCGTTCCCATCCCCCGCCCTTCGTGCCTCGCGCACCGCGTGCACTGCCGCCCTCATTATCCCCGCCTTACACTAGATACATTCGGCCTGTGTCTTTATCGCGACCTTTTTTTTTTTTTGGTGAGACTCACGAAGTACATTCATCAGCGTATCTTGCACCTATCTGCCAGTTCTGCTCAAGGTGCGTATTCATACACCTTCTTGGCTTTTACTTATTGACGATCGACGATTTCAGACCATCGGAGAGCGCAGTCATTGTCCCTCGCCTGCTCTATCGTCTCCACGGCACAAATGGGGTACGTATGGCATTCACTTGATCCTTTGAGCCCATCGTCTGAATCTTGGGCAGATTCCCGTCGTTTACGTTCACGCGCGCGCACCCGCGGATCTCGGTAAGCTCTTCCCTCGCATTCAATATAAAAGCTTACGGGTGCGGCAGACACCTTACCTTCGCTCAACATCCAATTCGTGGGTCGATGCGTAACGGCGCGATGGCGGGACGATGGATTGGCACGGTGGGACGGCGCGGTGACTTCGACGGGACGGCGCGGCGACGAGGTGAGCACGGTAGCTGGATGGCTTCAGTTTTGTAGTGTATTGTTTTGTATATAGTAAATTGCAATGGAATTACTATTGAAATAGTGGGCAGATCTGAGCGGTACAGGACAGAAGTCGCCAGAAAGGTGGCGGACGACGGCGACCTACGCCAGATATACGATCTGGCATGGTCTGGCATGGTGGGCGGATGATGCCAGAGGTCGGCAGACCCGGCTAGACGGGATTTTCACTGGGCGTAATCGGTTGTAAATGCGAGACCCTCGTTCGATTCGGGGTCAGGCCGTGTTTGCAAGTCCAGTGTGTTTTTCCGTCACAAAGAGAGCGTGCGCAAGTATTCGACAGTGAGTGTCAATTCTGTTGGTATCGATTGTTGTTTCATGTAGTATAGGCCCGGTGGCATAACTGGTAACGCGCGCGTTTGCAGTATTGTGAAAGGTTGCATAATCTACAAATGCGAGAACCTCGTTCGATTCGAGGTCGGGCCATAGTGCCAAGGTTCAGTTTTTTGCTTCCTTTTTTCCGCGCGCGTTCCGTAATCGTGTTCCGTAGTGCGTGTGTTCTGTAGGAGTGCGTTTCTTTTTCGTCCGCGCGGAAAGCGCCTGCCAGGCCAGTTTTCAACCGTGGGAAAAAACTCCGTGACAGCCGTAGTCATGCCGTGTAGTCTGAGGCTAACCGTTCGGCTCGATGTAGAGAGCCCCAGACACAACAAGATTTCCGGAGGTAACAGCAACAGGAATAGATTATAGGTCTGAGGCGCGCACTAAAGTTGCTCACAATCGCAATGTCGCATCCCTGGCCGTGGTGATCAAATCGGGAACACGCTATACAGCTTGGCCATTTCGCAGGAACGGTAGTTCCAGACTTAATAGGTTGTACGTTAAATCAGGGCAAAGGCGAAGGAAGGCGAATACTAACCTTTGACAGCGACAACTTTCACGTCAAACGGCCCCTGAGTTATGTGCTCAATCTCCGGCGAGGAATAAAGGTCAAGCTCAGTTCCCTTTCTCAAGAGTTCACCCAAAACGCGACGTGGACTGAGTGAGCGCTCTAATATTCCTCATTATCTCAAGGCTGGTCCTTGCTAGCCCGAGTATTTGGTCCCAAACGAGCCAAAAATTATGCAACTAAAATTGTCCCTAGGATTACTTGAAGCAGACTTCGGGTTAATGCATGCACATTGGAGATCCGAGCACTACCTCGACTGTAGGAACCAGGTGTCGCTATCGGGCGCCATAGACATGACAGCCCAAATATGGGGTTTCATCTGCAGGAGAACGTCGGCGAAAATAAATTGTGGGGAATCATGCAGCATTCACTGGGCCAATTTGGGTGAGTCTTTACGAATACCTCGATTTAAACGGTCATTTGTAGTCACGCAAAATAACTCGTCGTGTCTTCGTTTGGGTAATCGCTTCATGCCATCGATGCCAGACCCGAAGTGTCAAGAAAGTAGAAATTCTGCCAACCGTATCGACGCCAGTGGGCTTGTTCCAAACGGTATACATAGACATTATGATGATGCCTGAGGCTGATGGATTCAAAATGATTGTAGCCGCGCGTGACGATTTGTCGGGCACCTGTGAAGCTCAAGCCCTCAGAACTCGGACTGCGGATGATCTGGCCAATTTCTTTTGGGTATATTTGTATTGCCGGTATGGATGCCCGCGGAAAGTGGTTACAGATAACGGATCGGAAGTGAAAGCCGGTTTCAGCAGGCTAATCAAGAAGATGGGGGTACCACATGTACCCATTTCTGCGTATAACAAGCATGCTAATGGGGTTGTAGAACAAGGACATTTCACGTTGCGAGAGGCCATAGTGAAGTCCTGCAGAGGAAAAATCGAGCTGTGGCCAACGAAACTTCCGGTAGCATTACTTGCTGATCGGGTTACCGTAAGTCACGTAACAGGATTTTCGCCCTATCAATTGTTGCATGGTACTGATCCGCTCCTGCCCTTCGATCTAATGGAAGCTACATTTTTAGTAACTGGATTTCGCACAGGCATGACCAGAACAGAATTATTGACCTTGCGGATTCGCCAGCTTTCCAAACAAGATCGAGACATTAAACGAGCCATTGAGACTCTGCGCAAAGCAAGATTCAGATCAAAAGAACAATTCGAGCAGCATTTCATCAAGAAACTTCAGAAAGACAAATACAAGAAAGGAGAACTAGTGCTGGTCCGAAATGTAGGACTCGAAATGGAGGTCAGCGCGCGCCGGAAAACTTCAGACAAGTACTTCGGACCGTATGAAGTTGAGCGGAAAAATAAAGGAGGCGCTTATATTCTGCGAGAACTGGATGGAACCTTATTCCGGCACAACCCGACCGCCGCGTTCAGGCTCATTCCATACATTACCCACAATCATTGGTTCATGAGAGGAGACTGGATGGATCTGGAGAAGACTGATGCCGAACCCGTTACTGCAGACGAAGAATTATTCGAGTCATCAGACATATATATATAAGCCCCCGGACGCAGAAGCATTCGCCACGGCAGAGCAAAGAAGGAAAAACCCTGACGCCACGAGGCAAGTCACGCCCCTCAAGTTTAGGCAGCTATTTAATCCCTGGCGAGGGCGAAAATGCGGTGAATCACTCCTACCATCTGCCACCAACTATCACGATTCACCATGCCTGTCGTAGAGACCGCTCGCGGAGTTATTCGTATGGGTGTTTGCCATAGCCAGTCGGAATCCAACTTAAGAACCAGGCACCGGGAATCCGAAGCGGCGGTAAGCAGCTCATGGGAGTCGTTATCATTTCTTATTCATGACCATCATGACCACTCCATGAAGAGCCTGCACGCTAATCTGGAGCAACACGTTCGTTACGGCCGCCTCCTCCAATCGCCCGAACTTCCATTCGCGACCCCATCTTACATCTACAGCCCGAACTTGTCCCGCTCAGCATCTGTTTACTCCGATCAGAGAGAGGAATCGTGGCAGGAAGCCCTTACCTCGACTGTGCCGCCCTACTATAACCCCCACCAATTCCAGCGCGCCAGCCAGTCGTACCACATGACAGACGGCTACCCTCCTTCCACCATCCCCACCCAAATGCTGCACCCGTCCGCATACGCGACCATCGAAAGAGGAGCTGGCGGCCAAGTTCGACGCACTGCTGATGTGGGAGCGTCGTCGTGATGCTCTGCGCCAGGAGCCGCGCACGAGCCCTCCCGCACCGCTCCCTGTAATCGTCTGGCGCCACCGTGTCGAAGATGTCTTTCAGCTCAAGACTACGCCGCGACGTTTGCTGCAGGATGGAGACCAGTTGGAGTGTTATGGTCTGCTCGTTGGCATGTGGGCACTCACCTCGTTGAAGCTTTATAGGGAGGATGGCATCTACTGGTTGTGCGTTAACCACGGAACCCGTCAAGAAGCACTTCTTCGGGTGAATTTGGAAGACACGTACATGGGAGCGAGTAGTGTCAGACGCCTTGTCCACACCGTTAAAACGCGGTTGTCCACGCTCTTCACCCGTCGCGGCGCCACTGGGCGCACGTAATTGTCCCTGATGCTCGAAGTCTTCTAATCGCTACAAATATGCATGTAACTGTTCGCTTTTGTTTGTTCCGTTACCAGAAATCGTTTGGGTAAGACACTCAGTGCTAGTTACTCGACTCGATGTCATAAGCGCCAATGTGCAGCTCGTTGGAGGATTGGAAGAGGCGACTTGTATTGTTATGTGGAGACACTTTGGGTTCCGAGACCTGCATTTTATCCGAACTTTCCTTCCCGGCTACCGCCAAAATTTTATCCGAATTCTGCTTCCGGTCAGGCATTTGATTCCAAAGTTTCATCCGAACTTTGCCTCTGACCTGAAATTTTTCAAGTTTTGGGCAGTTTTTCGTCAAAAAAAATCCCCGCGGGGCATCCAAATCCTTCGGAACGCCGAAAAGAAGCCTCCTCATCCGAACTTGCCTTCGACCTGCCCCCTGAGACCCCCGATTTTATCCGAACTTTCAACTAACCTCGAAGCCCCAGATCCAAAATTTTATGCGAACTTTGTATTCGACCTACCAAGTAATAAACAAGGGTCCTCATCCTTGCCTGGCATTTCTCTCGGGTAAATATACGTAGCCTGTTCTCTGCCAGTCGTAGAATGGTTAGCACGGAGACTAACATCAGTAACAATTGCTACCTTAGTATTGTGCGTCGGATTCAAAGGTATGAGTGAGATGTTAGTTCACATTGACGCGATATTTTGCGGCCGTCAGCATGCCCCAACCATTCTCGGAGGCGAAAATTATGCCCCCACGAAGTACGAGGAGAATATGAGCACATACAAGATTAGTAGCATGGGCATTCGGGGTCTGCCCGAACGCCTATTGATGGGAGCGAACGCCTATTCCCAGTCGTGAAATTGATGGTCATCAATCTTGCTGTATATCACAAGTCCCTTCGGTTTTTTTCATATATCCCTTACCCTCACCACTAACACTAACTCTAACTCCCAACCAAAACCCTAACCACTAACCTCTAACCAAAACCAAAAACCGAACACTAACTAAAACCACCTAACCTAAACCTGGCCGGCCGCATTCGGCAATCTGCCGGAGCATGATGCGTGTCCTTGATGTTCGAACACCTATTCTATGGACTATCGCCAAATTTTCGATAGAAGCGAGATCAACGACTTTTCAGATGCTCTCAGTTCCTCAGTCTGTTGGGTTCAACATGAATACAAGTTGAACTTGCTCAGATAATTTCCCAGCATCCATTTGATCTATCCCTTTCCCTGACTTACCCTCAGAAAGAACCTGTTTGTACCCGCGCTTGCCGGCCACATACAATCATTTCTGATTGCTACTAAGTTGTCGTGCCTCGGAGAATATTGGACTTGCACCCACGTGACAACTAGGAACGGGAGCATTGACTTCGTTCTCACCGCTTCCAAAGCTCCTTGTGGCAGAACGTCGTATTTATTATGAATTGTCCTCGTTTATGTACCGGCTTCATCATACCGACGACGAGAACGCTGTTTGTGCCTGCTGCTTGCGGCCACTTTTGGGCCACTTCCAGTCATTATGGAAATACCATATGGATATCAGTCACGTGGCCACGACGTAAATTTCTCTTTTCGCGATACCCACGGTGGCACACCAGTCCAGTCGCTAAACCAAAAATACCGGATGAGGTCTCCGAAGACCTTTAAATGGAGCCCATATTGCAACTGTAGCGTCCACAAGCATGCCTCGAAAAACCGCCCCGAAGAAGACAACCTCGTCGACGAAGAGTACGCACCTCACTCGAGCTCGAGCGCAGGCGACCCCAGCAACCGAACTCGTGGGGCCTTATACGCTGAGATCCACCGCCGAGAGGACAGCGCGTAAAGAACGCGTGAACAAAGGAGGTGCGTCACGGCTCCAGAGTATATTCCCAGAATAACCGCACAATACCAGGATATGTGCCAAAGGCGCAGAAAGGAAAATTGCCGCTGGTCAGCGCGTTCGACGCCGAACCGCGACTAATCCAAGCTTCT